GAGTCTGATCTATGTAGTGAGACTCTGTACTAAATAGATTTTAAAAAAGAAGCTCCTGTAGGATATGCTTCTAAGAAGCCCAGAGGCCTCACATACCCTACTTGCAGTCACCCTGAGAAGGTCCTGCCCCAGGGCCAGCTGATGACCAGATGGGAAAAGTAGGAGGCTGGCCAGGGTGATGGCTCAGTGGAATAATTGCTTGCCTGGCAAACACAAGGACCTGAGTTCAATCCCCGGTTCTGCAAAAACAAAAACAAAATAAAAATAAAAATAAAAAAAAAAAGTAGGAGGCTGAAGCTGATAGCAGGGAAATGAGGGGCAGGACAAGAACAAGAACACAAACTGATATTCTTTATGAGAATGCTAGTAGTAGCGGCCAGATAGTGAATGATTTTTATTTCCTGCTGTTTTTCTGCTGCCCTCATCAGGAAAAGCCTGCGGTTTTCTGCCTGGGGTTTAAGACATGGGACTCTAGATTGTTAAGACTTAGATATATAAACAAGTGATTGCAAAGTCACCCCTAAATTGTGCTAACTCATGTGACTCTTGGTCCCCTTGATGTTCTGTACTATTCACTGCTTTTCATCGCCAACTGCAGATCTTTCTCTTGAATTTTCTGCAGGTGCCTGACGTCCTCCTTAGAGACCCTCTCAGTAACTAACTGCCAGCTCTCACTCGCTGACTGGAACCAGCTGCATTTTTCTGAGCAGACGACACAACTAAAACACTTGGATCTGAGCTGTACGAGTCTGACCTATTTTAGTCCTGAGTCTCTCCAACACTTGCTGAGTAGTGTTTCAGCTACACTGACCACCTTGCATTTGGAAAACTGTGGGATCGCGGATGCACAGGTCTGCGCCTTTCTGCCTTCCCTGAGCTGTTGCACCCAACTGACTACCTTCTGCTTCATAAAGAAATTCATGTCCATACACACCCTGAAGAGTCTTCTGTGCCGCACTGCCAGGCTGAATAACTTAAAGCAGGAGCTGTACTCTGTCCCTCATGATGTTTATGTTTTTAGGCATGGTTCCCACCTGCAGATGTTGAATGAGTTTCATGAAGCACTTAGGGGGATCGTGAAACCACTAAACCATCCCAGGAAAATCCAGTTGTGTATTTTTAACGGCGAATTCTGTTTCTTCTGGAAATTATATAAATTACACCCTAATCCATGCCCTGGCTGTATCGTGATATAGGGAAATGCACTCATCATAGGTTTCCTTCAGGGACCAAGCAACACCCTCTTCTTTCATTGGGAGCAAAGGACAGGTTTTTCAGCAGGCAGGAACCTTGGAGCAACGCTGTCTTGAAAGTAGAAGTGGGGCCGGGGAGATGGCTCAGTGGAATAAGCGCTTCCCTGGCAAGCACAAGGGCCTGAGTTCAATCCCCGGTTCTGCCAAAAAAAAAGAAAAAAAAAAAAAAAAAAAAGAAAGAAAGCAGAAGTGACCTTTGTGTCCTTGGTTCGCATACGGAATCACAAATTAGAGTTAGGGTTGTGTGATATCAATTCAGCCTTGAGATGAATGTGTGTGTTTATGCAAAGGCATGATTAGAAATAAAGAGAATTGCGTATGAATCTTCTGGTGGTTTCCATGATTGTTTTACCTGTTTACCAGGTAAGAGGGCATCAATTTTCAGAAAATGAATAGAAAAGGCCACAGGTTGTCCAGTCAGTAAGGTTTGGCCTCAGGAACTCCCAGCAACAAATAGAGATATTTTATGTTCTTTATACTTGCCCATCCTATAGCTTTCTCTAGGAACATGTTCCCTTCATGTTTTCTCTTTTATCCCCTCCCTAATGTACCCATTTCCTTGGACTCACTGTAGACACTTTCCACTGAGCTGCAACCACAGAATTTTTTAATTTTCAGAAAATTCTTTCAGGGGCCGGGGCAATGGCTCAGTAGAATAAGTGCTTCCTTGGCAAATGCAAGGGCCTGAGTTCAATCCTGGGTTCCGACAAAAAAAAAAAAAACCAGAAAATTCTTTCAAATGCCTGGGCTGTTTTTGCACTTGTGTTGCCCCACCCTAACATTTCTGAATGCTCTGATTATATTTGTGGATATTTTGGTGTGCTCCCCCCACATTTATGTATGGACTTCTTTTTTGCTCTTTTTTGATTAAGGTTTCCAATCTTTAGAGTGACCAACTCTTTAAAGTAGGCTTTCTACTCTTTAAAGTAGTACTTCCTTGAAAGTATAGGAGATGTGACCAGGAGCAAGCCTGATGTCGAATGTCACTGGTGAACGCAAGGTCTAAGAAACAAATGGAAAATTCCTGGGGAAGAGTCTGTGTGGCAGGATCCTGTGACACGAGGGCCACACTCAGGACCTAGAACATTCTAATATTAAGTGGAAAACTCCTTCACTGTGACCCTTACAAGTAACCTGATACAAAAATCTTTAACACTGGTCATGGTCTTCCTGGGACACAACATTGGCTGCTGAAAAAGTGCTTCACTGCGTAAGGCAAGGCTGCTCTCTGGGGCTGAAATGATGCCACATTGTATGCAAACAGAACCAAAACAGCAGCAGACATGAAGCTTGGGCATAAGGTTTATTTCTTGGCCACCAGTGCCACAAACCTCAGCCCAAATCAGAAAGAAAATTTACCAGATCTTTTAAGTTTAGTATACCTCAAACAATGAACTGTGTTTTATGAAGACTGCAATTTCCTCTGCTTCATATTAGACTCTTTCAGACTGAAATACTTGGCTACTTCCTGTGGATCAACAGGGAAAGGTCCCCTGTGTGAAGAACTGTGACACTAAAGGCTATAGATCAGATCGGTGAGGATCACTGGGTCTTGGGATTCAAACACTGCTTCCTCCCCTACAACTTCCCCCCTACAACCTCCCCAAAGAGACTTAGAAATCTCTGACCCACTCATTTCCCAACTGCACCTGCACTGCAAGCTCTGCAGAATCTCCCACATTTAGATTTCACCTTCACAAGCCAGTTCCCTCAGCTGATCCCATGGGAAACACACCCTTTACCAGTTGGGGCATCAAAGTCTAAGTGATCCTCCCTCCCCTTGGGGATAGTGTTGGAATTTATGTATCACTATTGAGTTAGATGTTTTCACTCATGTTTTTAATATCAGCAAAATTTCAAGCTGAGACAGATTGATAATAAAGTATGTTTTCTTTGTTTATTGAAATAAGATGTAGCTGTGGATATCATGTTGGTCTTCAACTCAGTGTGTAGCCCACGCTGTCCTTAAACTCAGGTTGATGCTCCTGTCTCGGCCTCCGCAGATCAAGAAAAACTGGCCTGCATCAGCACACCCAACCTTGGGTCATGAGTGTGAAGCGAGCCTGGACAACATGTTAAGATCCTGTCTCTAAAGTCACTGAGATTCATGAGCAGGTGGGGACCACGAGAAAAGAGGAGAAATTGGGACAGGATGGGAATGTCCCCCATCTCCAGGCTCCCTCCCTTTTCCATAAGAGTCATGCTGAGACCCAGAGTTACACAGACAGTTCTTTGCACACCAGAAGAATGAACTTGTTTGGCACACCCATCTTGGATGTCTCAGAGTCCCCTAAGCTGACAGGCCCTGTAGGAGGGGAGAGAGGAGGGTCTCCTTGCCTCCAAGGAAGAGTGCATTGAAATATTTTTTTTTTCCAATGATGCGGGGAAGAAATCCACGGCAAAGGAGTGTCACCTGGAGAGAAAAAAATTCTTTCAGGCTTTTACAGAGAGCAAACTGGTCAAGCAATGGCCATGACTCAACCAGATGTCTGACACTGACAAAAGATCTACAAGGTGCTGTGCATAGTTTCAGGGTAAATCCTGAGGGGATTTGACTGACCTTGCTGTATACAAAAGTTATATTTTTAGTTATATAGATCTTATTTTAACTTGGTTGTAACCATCCAGCAGAAAAGTATAACCACAAGATATAAAAACTAACGCCATATTAATATGCTGAGCTGTAAAAAGCTCAGGTCAACAACTTCTGAAAATTGCCAATTCTGCTGGTAATCCACTGCTATTATGGATTATTGGACTATATTGGGTTATTTTGCTGAATTCAAGTACCTACAATCTTTGACTGGCTTTAAGTATGAAAAAAGGTCCTTTAAAGACTTCTCCAAATACAGCTTCTCTAACTGCAGTGGAACACCCATCTCTAACAAAACAAAACAAAAAAGGGGGATTATAAATACAGGACCGTTTTGTAGTGAAAAAAATATGTATATGCAAGATAGGATTGATATACAGCTACTTTCTCTTAGTTTATTGATAAAAAAGGTTTGTACTAATATTGTTTAGCAAAAATATCATGTCTGCATCTTGTCCTCTGAATAACTACTACAAAGACAACAATATGCAATGTGTTAATTATTGTAACTGCCCTATTAACCTATTTTGAAACTAATTGCTATTTTATCTTTTTTCTCATTAAAATGAATAACAACAACAACAACAACAATAAGAAATCCAGGGCAACTGTGATGCGCTATATCCCAGACTATTGGTGTTTCTAAATCTGAAAGAGGCTCTCACTAGATCAGAGTGGGCTCCAGTTTTTGTTCATTTTGCCTTACCTTCCTAGAGTGCAGGATCATAGGTGTGCACCAATACACCTGGCTATAGTGGTTTCCAAACTTCATTTTTCTAGAAACACTCTATATGATGACCTAACTTAACTCCTGGGAATGCATAACAGCTGGAGTTCAACCCAAACACCTTATAACTAAACTTGCAGTTTTCTTCTATTTTTAAGTACTAGTTATTGAATCTAGCACTTTCACACCAAAAATTATATACCCAGGCCCGGCAGGCTCTCGCGGAACAGGCAAGTCGCCCGCCAGGCGGGAGGCGGCGCAGAGGCCCCGGGCGAGCGGGCGGGGTTCGGGGAGGGGGGGCCCCGCGCCGCCGCGCCCGCCCCTTCCTCCCCTTTCCCTTCTCCTTTTCCGCGTCGCCGACTCGCAACGCGCCGCGCGTCCGGCTGCCGGCACCGCCCCGCGGACTCTGCGCGACAACTTTCCCGCCGCGGACCTTGGCGGCGCGTGGCGCGCGGGAACAGGTTCGCTCTCGCATCTGGTGTAGTCTGTGCTGGGGACCACCTGTAAAACTCACCTGCATCTCGAATAAGAAGATGGGCTGGTGACGCAGGACCCGCCCAGCAGTAGCAATGCGGAGGCCTTTCCCGCGCCTGGATCTCGACACTGCACCTAAACCTGGACGTGGGGAAGCAGGAAGCAAACCTGGTGGATCCAAAAGCACGGCATCTGGGTAGGACCGGGCAGTGAGGCCGCCTCTTCTCGGCCCCGGAGCTCAGCTGCAGTGGCTGCTGATGCGCCCGGCACCTTCCTTCCGCCTATGCTTCAATGGCACAACACTGGACCAGCACATCTGAAGAGGACAGTGTGAGAAGCCGAGCCCATGGCCACGTTCCCCGGCCAGCTATGCGGCAAGACATTCCTCACCCTGGAGAAGTTCACCATCCACAATTATTCCCACTCCAGGGAGCGGCCATACAAGTGCCTGCAGACTGACTGTGGCAAAGCCTTCGTTTCCAGATACAAACTGATGAGGCACATGGCTACCCACTCTCCCCAGAAATGTCACCAGTGCGCCCACTGCGAGAAGACGTTCAACCGGAAGGACCACCTAAAGAACCACCTCCAGACCCACGACCCCAACAAGATGGCCTTCGGCTGCGAGGAGTGTGGCAAGAAGTACAACACCATGCTGGGCTACAAGCGGCACCTGGCCCTGCACGCAGCCAGCAGCGGGGACCTCACCTGTGGCGTCTGCGCCCTGGAGCTGGGCAGCACCGAGGTGCTGCTGGACCACCTGAAAGCGCACGCGGAGGAGAAGCCGCCCGGCGGGGCCAAGGAGAAGAAGCACCAGTGCGACCACTGCGAGAGGTGCTTCTACACCCGGAAGGACGTGCGGCGCCACCTGGTGGTGCACACGGGCTGCAAGGACTTCCTG